GGGGCCCCAGAGGTTCGTAGGAGCCCTTAGGGGCCCCCTAAGGGGGCCCCTAGGGGGCCCCCAAGAATCCCTAGGGTACCCTAAGGGGGGCCCCACAAGCCATTTTTGGGCAGAAATGTTTAGGGTTTAGGGTTTAGGGTTTAGGGTTTAGGGTTTCTGTTAAACCCTCGGGAGGTTTTGAATGAGTGCAGGAGAGGTGGGGGGCCCCTAGGGCTTTAGCTAGCTGCAGCACAGAAACCCTAAACCCTGAAGTCGAAACCCTAGAGAGTAAAGTGCAAACCCTAAACCCTAAACCCTAAACCCTAAGCCCCAAACCCTAAACCCTGAAATGTGGAGTGCGGAGAGACACAGAGGCCTGGAGTTGGAGACTGCGAGGGAGTTTGCGAGCGCTGCACGAACAGCAGTGGACCTGCGGTCGAGGGTTTAGGGTTTAGGGTTTAGGGTTTAGGGTTTGTTGGATTGGCCGCGGGCGTTTGGTTTTGAAATAATTTATTGCTTGTCTTTTTGCGAATTCGCCCATTTCGGACTATTTGTTTTAGGGTTTAAAGGAGGGCCGCGGGGGTTTGGTGCTGCTGCGCAAACCCTAAACCCTAAACCCTAAACCCTAGCTGGGCCGGGAGCGAAGGGCGGGCGCGAGCGTCGGCAGCGAATGGAATTTTGCGTTTTCTTTTTCTTTAAAGATTGAAATAAAATAAAATTAAGAAAATAAATTTAATTTTGAATTAAAAGAGTTATTATTTCCTGGAGAAACCCGCGGAGTGAGGGTGCCGGGTGAGTGCTGCTGCTGCTGCTGCTGCTGCTGCTGCTGCTGCAGCAGCCCAGCGCGAGGTGCTGCAGCAGCAGCAGCAGCACTCGCCGCCTCGCTGCTGCAGTTTTGGCCATTATTTTGCATTTTTGAAAATAAAATATAAATTAAAAGATTATATTTTGCAAATTTGATTCAAATTCGTCTTTTTTCCGCGAAAAATGCCGGGCGGGGCGTGTGCGGGCGCCGCTGCTGCTGCTGCCAGCAGCAGCAGCAGCAGCAGCAGCAGCAGCAGCAGCAGCAGCAGCAGCAGCACGCGGACGCTGCGAATCAGCAACTTGGACCCTGCAGTCCTTCTGGACCAACTGAGGATAGATCTTTATGAACTTTGTAAACCCTTTGGCGAGGTTTTGGAAATAATTGCAAAAAGAGAAAAAAGAGGAGAAGCTCTGGTGGTTTTTGCTGCTGAAGAAGCAGCAGCAAAAGCCTACATGGCGCTGCAGGGCCAAACCCTGTACGGCAAAACCCTCAGAGTGGACCTTGCGGAGAACCCGCCGCCGCTGCAGGCCGAGGAGCCTAGGGTTTAGGGTTTAGGGTTTAGGGTTTAGGGTTTGGGCTTGCGGGCTAGGGTTTGGGGTTTAGGGTTTAGGGTTTAGGGTTTGGAGTGCGGCCCCGCAAGCTGGGGGCTTCTTGTTTGTCAATTGAATTTGCTTCGCCGCGCCTCGCTTTGGCCCGGCGCTGCAGCAGCAGCTGCTGCTGCTGCAGCAGCAACTGCTGCTGCTGCTGCTGCTGCTGCTGCTGCTGCTGCTGCGTTTGACAGCAGCAGCAAGAGCTGCTGCAAATGGAAAGCTCGCCCGTTTCGAGCAGAGGGAACAATCAAGAATTTGATTTTCATTTCAAGTCCTTTTTGTCCTCCCCACCGCAAACCCTAAACCCTAAACCCTAAACCCTAAACCCTCAGGAGTGCAGACTGCAGGCCAGGGCGAGACGCAGAGAGCCTCAGGTGTACAGACAGCTCCCGCTGCTGCAGCAGAATGCAAATAAGATGAAGAAATAAAATGAATTATATTTATTTATTTGTTCAAATATATTTATTTAAATATATTTATTTAAATATATTTATTTATTTATTTATTTTTTATGTTTGAGTTTATTTTTATTTTGTAAATGCTTGAGTTAAAAGCCTTAAGGGTTTGTCGCCCTTAGCAGCAGCGAGTTGCTGCTGCTGCGCGCTGCTGCGGGTAAACCCTAAACCCTAATTGGGAGCTGCAAACCCTAATCCCGAGCCCCTAAGCCCTAGTCAGCAAACCCTAAACCCTAGTTTAGGGTTTTCTAAACCCTAGGGGAGGAAGCGGGAATTAAAAATAAAAAGGAAGAGCAGAGCCCTCAATGAGGCCCCAGCGTGAAACGCTGATTTAGGGTTTAGGGTTTGCGATCCGCGCTGGCGCTAAATCCTAAACCCTCGCGGGGCCTCTGAGTGCTCCAGAAACGCCAAATTCCAAAATGGAATTAAAAATTGAAAATTAAAATAAAATTAAAAGTGATTTTTGGCGGAGTAGGAAGCAGCAGCTCGTGCTGCTGCTGGGGTGTACATACACCCGAGATCTGCAGCGAGAAAACGGAAGCAGAAAAACGAAAGCACTAAACCCTGAAGGCCGCTACGCGTTTCTCGTTTCTTTTCTGTCTTATTTTACTGAAAATATGCATTTTAGGGTTTAGGGTTTAGGTTTTAGGGTTTAGGGTTTAGGGTTTAGGGTTTGGAGGCGGCGTTCGGGGCTGGCGCTGGACCTCACGCGCATGCATGCGTCCTCCTGTTTCTTCTCCCGAGCAGATCTCATGTTGTTTTCTGTTTTTTTCTTTTTTATTAGAAAGCAAAAGCTGAGCGAAACCCCAAACCCTAAACCCTAAACCCTAAACCCTCGTTCCGGGGTCTCGCGGCGGTTCCTCCTCGCGCCGCCTCCATTTTCTTCCCTTTCTTCGCCGCAGCTCTTTTTCCTCTTTCCATTTCGGAGTTAAATAAAAAACTTTGCAAAATAAATAAAACATTTTATTTTTTTTCTTCTTTTTTTCTCCCCAAAGCCCCCAACCCCCCCCATGGCCGCCGCTGCAGCTGCTGGGG